GGGAAATGCCACGTGAGCGGAGGCCTGTGCGGGCGGAATGGACTGATTCCGGGGACAGATGACGGACCCCCGCTACGGTGGTGAGTGACCCCCTCACAACAGCAATTCTGTTATTTCAAAATAAATTTGAAATAATGGATGGCTTATTCCAACTTCTGTAAACCTCATTGCATGAGGAATAATGCCTACTCCAAAATAGCTATTTTGGAAGAGCACTAGTGTGGATGCTCCACTGCTGCTATTTTAAAATAGCTCCTCCCCAGGGCCATTCAAAGTAACTACTCTCTGGTGCTTCCTGGGGCTCTAAATCGAGGTAGCACATCCACAGTAGGGAAGTCTATTTTGGACTAATTTACAGGCTTCCTGCAGTGTAGATGTGCTATTTCAAAATAAGCTATTTTGGAGTATTTCTTCCGGAATAGCTTATTTCAAAATAAGAGTTCAGTGTAGTGAGTCTGTTTGTTCAAGAACTCTGAAATGGTAACATCTAGGACCACCAGCTTTGGTTTGTAGCTTCCTCTTAGCCTAACGGAAAGTGAAATCAGAGTTTGGTTGTGGCAGAAAAATAGCATGTGCCTGGAATTCAATTGTTTCCCATAATATGGAAAGGGAGGGGACTGATCGGAGGGACGTGATACTGCACAGTCATCACTGGGGGCAGCTGCATCAGAAAGAGAGTGGCTAGCTGGGGACAGGACTCACCACCTTGCTGGCCACTGGTCAGGTAAGTGGCCCTTCATCTCCCAACTCCTTTCCCCCAGCCCTCAGCCCCAGCACTGGATCGGGATGGGGAGGGAGGAAGGGGAAGCCCTGGCCAGGCCCCACCCCGAACACCAGTGGGGTGGGGCAGTACAGACCTCCCTTCTTCTCCCTGCATTACTCCACATTTCTCTACTTTCTCTCTCTTCTATAAGGTTTATCGAGAAGCAATCCCATTACAGGTGCATCCTATTTTTCTGGCTGATCTTGGTTCAATCTCTTATAGTCACTGTTATGTGAGTTTTGACGACTGTACTTGATTTGGTGAGTCTTTTCTATATGATTTTATGATAAGTAATCTCATTCCAGAAACATCCCATTCTCCTGGCACAACCAAACCCTTATGTTGCTTTAAGTTATAAGAGGAAGCTGTATACCGAATTTGATGGTCCCCGCTATTACCCTTTAGGAGTATATTGTTCAAGATTCCTGAACAGGCTTATCAAGGTTACAGACTAGTCTAAAGCAGACACTTGGCCCTCAGTTACTTATTTAAAGGTCAATTAACAGAGTTTGTCACCATCAAGAGTTGGAGCATAGTTGTAACATTATTTCAGGTGCATTCAGCTTGCATCTCACCAAACTATCAAAGTAAGGTAATTTCACTATAAACACAATTCTAGATCTGAAGTCTAAAAGGGGGTTATATGAAGGAGCAGCACATTGTAATAAAAACTTGCAGCAGCCAGTCTCAGCCCCTGGTTCAGCTGACTGTGCTTCAGGCTAGGTCTACACAGCAGCATTTTTTCAGTATAAAATATGTTACTCCAAAACAATATAGTCTACGTCTACACACAAGCAGTTATTTTGGCATAATGTCAAACTGAAGAACTGCTTACTCTGACTCCTGTAACCCTCATTGTACAAGGAGTAAGGGAAGTCGGGGGAAGAGTGCTCTATCTCCAAATAACTGCTGTGTAGACAGTCCAAAAGTTGAAATAAGCTATTTCGACTTAAGCTATGCAATTAGTATAGCTCAAGTTGTGTAGCTTATTTCTAGTTTATGCCTGTTGTGTAGATGTGCTCTCACTGTGTGGCTACAGGCCTAAACATTGCAATGGCTTTTGCGACCCATCCAGTCACAGGGTTGCAGAGCCCTAGTTCAAGCCTGGGCCCAAACATCTATACTGCGATTTTTTGGTTTGTAAGTCTGGGTCAGCTATAGCTGAGCTATTGGTCTCTTATTGCTGTGTAGTGGTACCCTTAGAACAGGGTAGGGAACTTTATTTGGGTCACAGGCTGCTGACCCACAGAATGTGGGAAGGGGAGGGCCCCACACAAGTGAGAAGCAAAAAACCAAAACAAAACCAAAAATAAAAAAAACAACCCCTCACTTACATGGTCCCTGACTGAGAAGAAAAAAGACACTCCCCATATTCCCCTCACCTTGAGAGACCCAGCCGAGTAGATTTTGTGCGCTTTAGCTCCGCAATGGTGGGGTGAGGCTGGAGCATCAGCATGGGCTCCCCTATGCTGGGTGAGGGGTCCGGAGCCTCAGGGACCAGATACAGGCAAGGCGGGGGCTGTATCTGGCCCCCCAGCCTTAAGTTCCCCACCCCAGCCTTAGAATTTCTCTCAGCTCTCCTTTTGTAAAATAAGGATAGTCACTAGAGATGTTAAAATGTGTTTAAGTAACCATGTAACCACTGAAAACTGCAGCAGTTACATACAAAGGGCAGTTGGCTCCTACCTGCTCCCCTTTCCCTGCACTGTTGTCTGATACAGAGGTAGCAGTGTAGGGGGAGGGGAAGAACATAGGGCTCCCCGCACGTATCAGCTTTTATCTGCCCCTTCTCCCCCCGCACTGCAGTGTGTAACTGTGAAGATTAATCATGGAGCCTAGGCTCAACGATTAACCATGTACACAGTTACACTTTCACATCCCTAAAAGTCACACTCCCCTACTAAACAGGGGCATTATAAGGATAAGTATATTATACATAGAAGTGCTTTGATACAACAATAAAGGGAACCATATAAATATTTCAGACAGATAAAGCCTCTTTTAGGATAAGAGATGGGGTGGCAGGTACATGATTACTGGTGGAAACCAGTGCCTTTGAAACACCCTGCCCTGCAGCCTCAGTTCATAGCCTGCAGTTTATTATTCAGGGCATGCTGCAAAATACATTTCTTCTCACTGCCCTGCAGGGAGTGGGGTTGGGGACTGATTAAGGGGAGGGTAGCGGTCATTTGCATGTAAGTACTGGAAATAACATTTTTTTTATTAGACATTTGCCAAAGATAGCAAGAGCCTGAAATAAGTGCTCGTTTTTATATTGCTGTATGACTAGGAAGAAATTATGTAATATCAGTTGAGACTTTAAATGCTCAAATGTCTAGAAAAAAGTCTCTGACCCCCCCCCCCACACACACACTGTACTTCAACACGATAAAAATACATACAGATACTGTGAGAAAAAACTAGTTGATTATTGCATGCCCGGGAAGACACCATAAAATAAGAATGAACAGAAGATACACATAAAACCTCATGTACAGTAATACAGAACACTAGAGCTGCACAAGGAATAGATGGTACACTGCAGAAACTATATCTTTAAATAGGATTGGAAATATAAAATTGCAACCCTAATATGACTTTGAATATACAAACCCTCACACCAATTTCTATTGGGCATCTCCAGCTGGAGCATACCTATCAAGTTATCCCCATTCTCAAATGCATGTAGTATAGATACACACAATGTAAAATCCATCACAGGGGGCAAACTCTTCCCTATGTATGTTCCAGGTTTTGCAGGTGTTATTTTAGTCAGCGCCTCTGGAGTTTGAAGGCTCGCTCTGTAGTGCATACTTCCCAGAAGGCACACAAGCCTTTTAGCAGAGGAGGGCCAAGTTAATTCACTTACCACATCCATGAAGGCAGCAAGGGAGTACTGCTAGCAGTGCATTGTGTGAGGAAAGGGAGAGAGCTGTGCCTAAAGGCTTGGATGAGAAGACATCTGCATCTCAAGTGGGAAGAGAGCCATAAATATACACTTAAAACACAGGGAGCAGGAGAAACAGATGTGGATGTATCTTCTGTTGCTACACCAACATGAAGGGAAAGAATAGGCAGGAAAAGACAAAAGAAGGGTAACGAGACACATAGTTGCTAATTTGGATAATGCTGCAGAATTCCCAAGTCACTCATAAAAAAAAAAAAATTCCCCAAAACCTGAGTACTCAGAGACTTAGTTAAAACAGCATTATCCATATTACCTACCAATAAAGGTGCTCCCAATACCAACGAAGAGTTGATTTCTTCACAGAATCTATATACATTTTGTCCATCTGTAACTGTTTGTTCAAGAACTCCTCCTAAAAGGTAAGTGCAAGGACCACCAAATTTGGTATACAGCTTCCTCTTATCCTAACTTAAAGCAAGGTCAGGGTTTGATTATGCCAAGACAATGGGATGTGCCTGGAAGCTGATTCCATTTTATGAGAAACAAAGGGAGGGGTCTGATAGAAGGGAGTTATATTGTGGAATGACCATGGGTGGGAGCCAGTGCCCCCACAGGAAGCCACTGGCCAGCAGCAGCCAACACCCCAGGCTAGACTGGGGAGTATGGGTGGGCAGCCTGCATGGTCCTCCCAGGTCCAGGAGGCAATGGTGGCTGGGATGCATGGCCCCCGCCCCTAGGGAAAAGCTGGTTACTGGGGCACACCCCTTTCCTCCCCCCTGTCTGGCACCACCTAATTCAAGGAAAAGCCAACAGTCAGGGTGCAGAGCCCCACCCCGGGCTGGACCAGGGCAAGGCTAGGTAAGTCTTCTAATAATACATACAATGTGGTTACAGACAAACAGCTTGTCTGATCTCCTTTTGAAGTAAAATATATCTAACAGAGGAATTCATTGGTAGGGTCCAGAACTTGGAAGCCATTTAGAATCCTCACACCACAATTTCTGTCATCTGTAGATTTAATTACACACACTACAATGAGCCTGCTGTGGGCAGGGAGAGGACCAAAAAGTGCCCTTTAGTGCATAATGCAAATTAACTTTTCTATCATTAAATAAAAGCAACCAACTAGGTAAAGGGCAGGGCTGGTATAAATTGATCTTCCCAGCTACATAGTAGCAGAAGGCATAATTCTTACCAAGTTGAATCAAACAGCAAGGGGATCAATATAAGCAGATACAATGTACTTAATGAATGAAAGAAGGTAATACATACAGTATTTGGCAAAAGTAAAAAGCCAAAGAAACAAGTACTGAAAGCAGCAGAAGTTTATGGCAAATATGTAGTCCAGTTTTTTTTTTTTATTATGGACTCAGGTAGAAAGGCATAGCAACTGAAACCCCAAAATCATCACCACCATGGGTGCTGGTACATACTGAATTATTTCCATACATACAGTTACTGGTGAAAAAAATCATCCCTCCAACTCTTGAGCGCTCAGAGAGACCTAGTTAAAACAGAGTTCAAGTCAGAGTTTAATAACCAGGAGACTGCTTATGCCCCTTCCCTTGCAGCTATTAACTCAGCTGCATACAAAGCCACCTCCTGGCTGGGAACAAAGGACTAGGGTTGCTTTTGCTCTGACATTTCCAAAGTAGTCTATTGAATTTCCAAAGTAGCATTATTTCTTCTTGGTAGCTCTCTTTCCTTCTCCTTTCTTGGGCTTTCCTTTACCACGGAGCTTCTTCAGTCGTCTCATCTCTTCCTTAAAATCTTGATGTTCATCTCTAGTTGGAGAAAAGAGAGGGAAGAAGGTTAAATTTAACTCTTTCCAAAAGAACAAAAATACACTGGGGGGTTCCAGTGGCCAATATGTCCCACTGAGAATGGAAGATTCCCACTTTCAAGAATGGGGAGATGTACACAAAACAGAATGAGACCTGAAGTAAACATACATCATGTACATTATCCTAATGCAGAGGTAGGGAACCTTTTTTTTTGGGGGGGGGGAGGGGAGAACACTGATCCATGGAAAAAATCAGTTGGGGGCCATACACAAGTGAGAAGAGGGGAAAAAACCCTCACTGTGGCCCCCAAATGAGGAGAAAGACACTTCCCTTACATACCTTAGTCTAGAGGGCTGCAGCCCAGTAGATTCTGTGTGCTTCAGTCCCATGGGTGGGCAACAGGAGGACTGGAGCACCAGCGCAGGCTCCCCAATACTTGGGGAGCGGGGGAGCTGAGCCTTGGGGCCTGGATCCAGGCAAGCCAAGGGCCACATCCAGCCCCCAGGCCTGAGGTACCCCACCCCATCCTAATGTATTTTACTTCAGGAATCAAACAAACCACCACCAACAAAAACATGATATTTTGCACTACAGCAACACCTTCTGTTTAAAAATCTCCAAGTACTTAAGGAATTAAGCTTATCACCAACATGTGAGGGAGGACATGTTATTCCACTTTCAAAGGTGCGGGAAACTAAGACTTACGGGGAAAGGACTTGTTCAGAGTCACAGCAAGTAAGTGAGGGAAAAAGAAACAATATGCATATCTCCTGGCTTGCAGTCCTGTTGTTTATCCAGTGCTCTCCAGCCCCCAGAGCCATATTTATTCCTAGGCAAGTCTGATGGTTATTGAGATGTTAGAGAATTAAGCCTATATTGAATCTCAGTACATTTACTGTTAGCAAAATTATTGCAAACACAGAATTATTTGAAAGATTTGCTTTGGTATTTATGGAATTAACAAGATTCATTTGTTGCTCATAAAAGGCATATATTTCTTACAATGTATTTACTGATCCATTCTGCTAAAATGGGAATAAAAAAGTGAACAAGAGATGAAAATCAGAATTTCCCCTCTCCAAGCTAGCTCAGAAGTACAGTTCATATGTTGTAATGCCATACAGAGACTCAAGTTAGGGTCATTAGCTCTTGAGAAGAGAGGCAGGGTGGGCTATAGTTATATCTGGCTTTGTCTCAATTGATTTCACTGATGGGTTCTGGAGGAACCTATATCAGTGGGATCTTTATTATTTATCTGTATTATCATAGTGTCTAGGAGTCCCAGTCATGATGCAGGATGCCATGCTAGGTGCTGTAAAAAACAGTCCAAAAATGAACAGGAGTGGGGATTGGAAGGACAGGAAAAATACATCTTAAAGAACCCTTTGAATAAATTGCAATTCACCTTCCATCCTTAGTAACTTAGTAGTGGAAAATGGGTAGCAGCACCTGAAACTTGTCTAAGACTGGTACACTGATATGTTTAATACTTCCAAAAAGTATATGAATTATTCTTAGATCTCCTCGATCTCTGCCTATCCGTATCTAACATCTACTGCCAGCCACATTTGTTTCCGAGTAGCACACCTGAGCACTGAGTATACATAAAAAACATGACACTTACGGTGCATGGTCACAGTTTGGCTTTTTGTGCCAAGTGGAGGGTACTTTATGATAGTGGTTATCAACACTTTTTAATATATGTTTAAAACCATTATAAATGTTGTAGGCAAAGTGGGATTTGGGGTGGGGTTGACAGCTCATGATCTCCATGTAGTAACCTCGCAACCCTGACAGGTCCTGTCCCCGCAGTTTGAGAAACCCCTACTCTAGGATACATGCAGGAAATGCCTGTATGGTCACTATACCGTACTAAACAATAGAAACAAAACCTAACTATTAAAGAAGCTCCTACAAATTCCATGCCACTTGGCCAAAGTAAGGGCTGCATTTAATTTCCTCAGAAAACATCTACAAGTAATCAATTCAGTGTTTTCTTATTCAAAATTGTAATACTTATTTAGCAGCTTGAATATAAATGTTTCTAGTCAATTTTGTCCTCCTATATTTGGAAAACAATTTTCTTTCACTTCCGATGGTTTGAAGGTGACCTAGTTTTTTAAAACGTGAAGAACTACCAATCACCACTGAAGGCCTCCCTCCAAAATTTCAAGGATAGGTGCTGAAGTAGTCAGAAGCAGGATATTGGTGTGTTAATATGCTATATATCTTTTGCAGCTCCTTGAAAGAACAGCCCAATTACTGCTTTAACTTCTGACCTGCAGTCAGACTTCATACCCATCATTCATCAGATTTGCAAAGCAATGACTTCTTGAAGCAGGAGTGGGGAACCTTTTTCGGGTTGGGGGCCACTGAACCGCAAGAAAAAAAATCAAATGAGAGAAGCAAAAAACGTAAAACCCATCATTGCACCCTCAATAACATGGCTCCTGACTGAGAAGGAGAAAGACACTTCCCATGGTCCCCTCGCACATCGGCGCCTAGCAGGGCCCAGGCCAGTAGATTCAGAGTGTTTCAGCCCCACAAGGAGTGGAGGGAGGCTGGAGTACCAGCACAGGTTCCCCAATCATGTGGGAGGAGCACTCAGCCTCAAGGGCCAGATCCAGACAAGCCAGGGGCTGCATCCAGCCCCCAGGCCTTTGGTTCCCCACGCCTGACTTAAGAGTTAAGGCCCCTACCCCAAAGAACTAGAAGAAGCATGTCCCATCTTTACACGCAATTGCTTAACTACTCCCATTGGTCTACAATCTTTTGCGCAGAAAAGGCTCAGTGCAAGAGAACAACCAACCAAGCCTCATTTTACTTTAGTCTTCCCACACCAAACACAGCAAAAAAACCAAAAAACCCTGCTTCTTCTATGCAGAGCGGCTATCTTCTGAACGGCCTCATTTTAGTATTTCTGCTGCTGTTTTAACACAAACGTAAGAAAATCCACAAGTCCTTGTTGCCCAGTCCATCCCTCCCCCATCCCCATTACACACATTACCTGTAGAGGCCAAAGAAGCGGAGTTTCTTCATTAGCGCGAAGTAAGTGTTGTGAGGGGGATACCAATCGTAGACCTCCTTCCGTTTGGCAAGAGGCTGCTCACTGAACAGCTTCACTACTTTCATGGACTTACTGTCTGTTGGCCTGACAACTTCTCCAAATATCCGGGCACTCAAGCGGGCCATCCGCAAGGCATAATTAGAAAGAGCAGACATCTTCCGGCAATGAATGGACACGCACACACATACACACTTTCCTACAAAAGAAAGAGAAAAATACTCCAGCTCTTGGAGATGTTCCAGTATCCTAAGCATTTGCCAATATGATCCTGTTTTCGACCCTCACATCACACTTGCAGTTCACATGGGATGAGGGGCATGCTTGAGGCTGCATTTCTCATTGCCCCACAGCTGATGCTAATGTCATTGTCATAACTATAATACACATTAGATACCACTTTTAGCACATATGAGGTTTGTCAACCCTATTAGTTTATTTTCTAGTATACATCTCACAATATAGAGACATCGCTTAATTTAGTAGTCTTTGCAGAGAAGCTAGGGATTAAATGGCATGGAGACTCAGGCCAACATCCTCAAAACGCTTTCAGGCACCTAACTTCCATTGATTTCTATACAATTAGGAAATTAATACCTCCATTTTTTTCTCCCAATCCTCATCTCTTTGGATTTTATGCATGTTTTTCATCATAACCATGTTTTCTGTCCAGTTTTCTCACATCTCTATTTTTGTTTGAAGCACTTCCCCATCTCCCTCCTCCAACTCTTTAGCACACTTCCCTCCAACCAAAGACAGTAGGATACTTGTCCCTCACCTCCGCTTCTTCAAGCAGCCAGATGGTATCTTTAGAATATAAGACGCTTTCAGAGTATCAACTCTTAGCCCTTGTTGCTAGAGCAAGAGCAATTCTCTCTTCCCATCCAAATGATTCTTTTGACATTTTTCTTCAGATCTCTTCCTCACTACACATTTTTCCCTCCCCATTTCTTTCCTCATCTTTCTTCCTAATTTAATTTGTTCTTACCCACAGAATAATTCTTAAGCTGCTACTGTTGACTTAATGAAGTTGGTAACCCTATTAGTTTCATTCTACTTGCAGGGAATCAATGGAGAAGCAGCTAAACAAGATGAGACAAATGAGAGAAGGAAGAGAAGAACAAGATGAACCCTTTTGTCTTGCCTTTATCAGTATATTGCTCCTCTGATACTCTAGTTTATAGCTGTCAATCCTACAGAAAGAGAAACAAAACATACATAGAAGAGAATTAGATCTGCTTTTCTATATTAGTGCAGTCAGCTCCAATGGGGAAGAACTGTATGAGGCACAGAGGTACAATCCTTGCTTGAAATATTCCTGGTGGTGAAATTTTAGCAACTTATGTTTTACAGGGGGAAAAAAACAGCAAGCAAATGGTCTACCAGTGCTACCAGACCATTTGCTTGCTGTTTTTTTTTCCTGTAACAGACTAACTCGGCTACCCCCTGAAGCTCCTATGTCTTACAGGGTTAATGAACAATTTCATACTGGATTCCCATGATCCTGTTATACAGGCAGTCACCGGGTTACGTACAAGATAGGGACCGTAGGTTTGTTCTTAAGTTGAATTTGTATATAAATCGGAACGGGCGTCCAGATTCAGCCGCTGTTGAAACTGACCAGCAGCAGCTGAATCGGACACGCCTGGGGCAGAGCTGCTGGGGTGCTGCTGGGTTGGTCCCGCAGCGCCGCTCCTCGTGATCCTGTTATACAGGCAGTCACCGGGTTACGTACAAGATAGGGACCGTAGGTTTGTTCTTAAGTTGAATTTGTATATAAATCGGAACGGGCGTCCAGATTCAGCCGCTGTTGAAACTGACCAGCAGCAGCTGAATCGGACACGCCTGGGGCAGAGCTGCTGGGGTGCTGCTGGGTTGGTCCCGCAGCGCCGCTCCTCGGCGCTACTGGACCAACCTGGCAGCACCCCAGCTGCTCTGTACCAGGCGTCCTGATTCAGCCACTGCTGGTCAGTTTCAGCCACTGCTT